ACTATAGAGACAGAAAACAAGTAAGTGGTCCCAGAAGTTAAGAATGGGGGAGGTTTCAACTGCAAAGGGGCAGCATGAGTGAATATTTGGGGACTCAAGGGGCTGTTCTGTATGTTGATTGTGGTGGTGGTTACAAGGCTCTATATATTATGGAAATTCACAGAACGAGGCACACAAAAATTAGTGAATTTTATTTTATATATTTTAAAAATAATTATGTAGATATATATCAAAAATTTGCTTTCTGTGAGCAGACTATATCACCCTGAAGGAGTGGGAATCTTGTATACCTTTTTTTTGAAAATAAATCGAAACTTAAAAATATGGAGAAGAAAAACCAAGGATGTTTTCAGGGTCACACTACTCAGAACTCTAAAATCTCAAGGTGTGAAAAGTTGCTGGTTGCTTTTCCACATGAGTGTTCAATTCATCTTGACCTCTGACTTCAGGTTTCAAAAGAACAAAAACAGCGTAATGGAAACAAAACACTTCAGCATCATACTATTTAATGACCTGTAATTACAGCTCTCTTAGCTCAGCTGCACTTAGTCTAAACTTAGAGCCTATTTCTCTCACAGGAGAAAAAAATAATAAGGCTAATATAGCCTGAGCAGTGCTCATACACAAAAAGAACTTCTCTAAGTTTTATTCTATTCAAATCACAATGTATCAAAGCCCTCTATTGCACGATTTCCTCTTTATGCCAACGTTCTCACGAAATGTTACCAACCAAAAGTATTCTACAGAACATGCAGCAATGTTAAGGTTTTCAATGAAAAGAATGTTAATAACTAAGCTAAAAAATATTGCACAGATAAAGCTACTCGTATGAAAAAATCAACATATTTCATTTTAAAATCACCTAGTGGATAACTTGTGTGAGATATTTGGACTCTGCTACTATATAAATTTCTGTTGGTCTTATACCTGTAAATTGTGGCTCCTGATGGCCAAAATCTTCAGTCACACTAAGGAAGACTTCTGATTATTACACCAAAATCAACCCGTATAACCACACCCTAAGGTTAAAAATCTATGCTTAAGATCTAGTTTATTAGCCTTTGAAGAGACATGGATCAGAGTTTTAGTGGTGTCACTTGGTTAAAATGTCATATAATATGACATAGTGTTATAGCATAGCATAGCATAGCATAGCATAGTATAGTATATATTATGTGTATGTGTAAAATATATAAATAATATGGAATATATATAATACAATTGTTCAGAGCCATGTCATTTCAGGCAAGAAAGGTGGCCAAGAGTGCAATGGTGGCCTTGACTCCTTTGTAAAACTAAAAATTTAAATGAATAAATATGAACACCTTTACTCTCTTGAAGTGTCTGGGAGATACTGATAGTAGAGAAGACAGAGAAATCGAGACCCTCAGGTTTTTCTGCACACCTGACTGAGGTTGAAGCTTGTTGCGCTGTATCTTTTGTGTGTGTCTGGTTGGACCTCTGTGGTTGATGGTACAATACAAAGTAAGAGTTAAAGGTGCCTATTAAAACATGAAAGGACGAGGTGAATCATATATTTCTGGATAGAAATCAGAGATGGTCATAAAATCATTAGACAAATTATACTAGATCAAAGTCTCATTACTTCATATTCAACTTTCTCCTTAGACATTTCTGCTTAAACTCTGGGTTTATTTTTCATATAACGTAGCAAATGAAGAAAATGCAACATCCCTCTCTACTTCAAAGTGAGAAAAAATGAAATAATATATGTGGAAATGTTTTGACACAAAATGGCACTATATACATGCAAGATAATATTTTCTTTAATAGCCACTGAGAGTGTCAATTCTTTTCTTTAATCGACAATCTCCCAAATACATAGCAACTTTCTATATAATAAATTAACAGCTAGATTGTTATTTCCTACCTGTGATGTGTAAACATTTCTTAAACCAGTTTAAGAAGTAGAATGGTGGTTCCTCCAAGTGTTTTGCACTTATACCAAATGGACACAATAAATCAAATCATCGAGAACTCCACCCACATAAATCTTCGGCTTTTGCAAGCACCATAGAAAGATGTCATAGGAAATATTTTGAAGATGAACATTTTCAGTTCCCAAACTCTCAAAAAGCCATTCATTTCTGCTGAGAATTACTTCACTGATTACAGAGGGTTTCTTAAGATGATTAGACACAGGATGAAAGGGGAAATTAATAAACGATAGCCACTCCAGTGTTTCCACTGCCTTAATCATGGAGGACTGTAAAACAGTCAATCAAACTGATATCATCTCCTAACACATCTAAAACATCTTTAAGGAAACCTCACTTTTTCCAATTCAGACATTCTGATTGCCTTACAAATTCTTCTACTGCACATATAGTAGCTTTGCTTTACAGTTTTCTTACATTAGGAGCCCACTAGGTGAAGAATAGATATTTCTATTGAGTTACATCTTTGAATAGTGTCTAGCACAATCTAAGAACATAGCTTATGTTAAACAGCTATAATTAATAAAACCAAAAAGTTAGAAAGGTCATGTCATTTAGCCATTTATCAACTACTCTCGATAGGCCAAGCTATTGATATAAATTATCTTTTAACCTTTACAATAATTCTATGACAGAAAAATTATTAACCCAGTTTCATACATGAGGAACCAGACACTTGGAGTTTAAGTAACTTGCTCAGGGTCATGCATTTTATAAGTGGGGGACCTGGAATGCCAATTCTGTCTGACTCAAAATATAGGGTGCCCCAAAAATATGTAAACACAAGCTTTGAATAATTATAAAGGCAATATTTATTAAAATGCATTTCACTTTCAAAATTGAGCTATCAGCTGTTAAGGTGTGTATACGTTACACAGGGGGGATACCCTGTATTTGCTTTTCCCTCTGTGATGAACCTTGTCATCTACCAGTGGTAGGAAGCTCATTCCTCTTGACACAACAAATCTTTGGACAGTTCTGACAGATCTTTCTAATGTTGAACAACTAACTAGAAAAATATTTACAACATGTCATAAAAATTCATGTTATCATTTGTCATCAGTAACCACATCCTGAACCTGCTGGGGGGTCTAAGTCTACATTTTCCTTTGAAGATAATCCTCAAAGTCTTAATCATACTATCATACAATTACTTACTTGGCTTTCATATTATAATCACATGCCTTCCCTTTCCTTAAAAAGAAAAAACCTTAAGACTTTGTTAATGTTGCATCATTTCTTGATTGAGGTCCCAGAGTTTTGCATAATAAATCCAGATGATTTTTGCTTGAAAAAGTGTTCACGCAGGCAATATCAACCAACCTCCTAATTTTGAAAAGAACTTCCAAGTGATTCCTGTAGAATATCTTGTTCTAATTAGATCTACCTAGATAAATTACCTATAAAATATACCTCTAAGTAGGAGACTAAAGTGAACTGTTAAGGGATAAATTAAGCTTATCCATATATTATATGTGATTATCCAAAAGTGTTTTACCTTGGTGATAACTGTTGCTTAGTTACAGCTTCTGTCTGTTCCTACCCAAAGGATCCCACCACCCTTCTACTAAGATGCAACAAAACCACGTGCACAGCATTCTTGCTTCATACTTGTAATAGCCTAAAGACGTGCTCAGTTTAACAAGTATCTATGGCAAGTGATCTAAAAGAAAATTAAAGTATTAGAACGGTGTTATCTGACATTGTAGGAGATGGAGATGGTATCTAATGAATTTACCTTACCTCTTCAGCTCTCTCCCACTCAACACATTTCTCCATATTTTCTGCTTCTCTCCTCCAGAAATACTTGGCTTGACTCCAAGAGTCTCTTCATACACATGCTCTTATTTTATTTTCCTGCCCCTGACACCTAAAAAATGAGCTCCCCCATTTCAGGGTTTGGTCAGTGTCTTGGTTTATCCATCAATCCTCAGCAGAGGGGGCTCCAAAATTGCTAATTCCAAGTCCCAATGCCACAAACTAGTGCCTGGATATTACATGCTGATTAGAAATAAGCTGATATTTTATATACTGAATTGTTCCAGAAACCTTATATCTCTTCAAATAAACAATAAGCTTGACAAACTCTTATTTTATTTCAAAAGAAAAACAACCAAGAATAGAAATCAATTAGAATTTAATACAATATAACCTCATAATTATACAGAATTATTAAACAGAATTCAATCATACGGATAAATTTGCAAAGTAAAATCCTGATATGAAATGATAACTGTACAATCAGGATATTTGTCCTATTACCCACACCAGCATACACTCAACACTCAAAAACTACCTATGAAGTATGTACTCTATGCCAGGCACTGAAGATGGGCTTAGCTAGTTAATATTTACATACGGTTATGCTGCTGATGAGCTCGATTCACATTCTAAGACCACAACAATATTCCTATGACCTACAAGTCTTATAGAGATATCTAAACAATTTTCAAACAAAATGACTTGCTAAATAAATATGAAAATGTAAAAATAAAAAAGGTCTTAGTTCCCAAGTTTTAGTTTAAAGTCGTGTACATTTTCCTCCCCATTTCCAAGATTCCAAGCCATCTCTACCCCACTACACAAATACGATTCGTTGAGGAAATAGTTAATATTCTCTCTAAGTAAATTGCAAAGAATATGTGTCAATCTATATATGAAAAAAATTACTACAGGATCAAGCATAGCATGAAACCAAAGTAAACATAGTTTAAATGACCAGAATCCAAATGCAATGGAATTTATAGATACTTATGTTGATCCATTTCGCATTGCCAGGGTAATACATCACACAATTAAAGGCTAACATAATATGCCTATGATATAAAATGTGCCCACATCTACATGAAATTTATTTCAGGGTTGCAAGGTCATGGAAAAAAATCATTAACTAACCCTCTGTTGGAACCACCCAATGAGTTTAATTATAGACTTGCCTATAATGAAGACTCCCTGGATCAAGCACTTGCTTGGAGATCTACTTTGCATACTCTAGAAATTGTGAAAACAAATCAGATAGTTGATTATTGCTGAGATACTCACAGTAGAAGTTCCTTTTTGCTCGTGGGTTCATCATTTGGGGATGTTTTCATCAGGAGTCATCATGCCTTTGATCTTTAATGCCGTTCTTCCTCCAAGGTTTCTTGTCCGTAATTCCCCAAACAGAGTCACTTGTACTAACAAGCCATCGTCCCATACTGTTTCCTTGCTTGCGTGAATGTTCCCCTATAGATCGAGTTCCTGTCCAGAAACACTCAAAAATGAACACACGCTGCTGAAGGCGAGTGCAATGCGCTCCTCAAAGACTCTGCTTTTGCAGTTGGGTTCCGGGAGAAATTCCCTGGCTGAAATGAGGAACTATATCCCAGGGATCCCAGAGAACTTAAAAGACTGAAGTTCCTTCCTTAGGAATGAGCAGATCAAAACTGCCAGCCTCGTTTATTCTCACTAGTTTACGGGTCAAGTACTATTACCCACGAAGCACCCATGTACTGTGTGCAGCCTGCAGAGCCTCCCAATTGCCAGAGTAACAATATCCCGACTACATTTTAAAATCGGGCTTAGTATGCTTTGAAGTACATAATGTTTTCCATTCCTGAAAGGACAAAGAGATCTACATTGTCAAAGTTTATTTTTAAGCTCATGTGCTTGCTAAGTGCAGTGGCGAACAGGCTTTCCGTGCCTGTAGTACCATTGCTGGAACCTATTAATGCGAACAGATGAATCGCTGGCTTGGTTCCACATAGGCTTTTATTCCACCACTACCCCTTTTCCTAACCTTATCTAAATTGCATTGACTATCATTTTTTAAATCAAGAAGGCTATCAGTTTTTCTAAGCTTGCTTGTTTTAATTTTATCAGTACAGAAGCCATGCAAGAAAGGCAAATGAGAGGAAGTTTTCAAGTAGCTTTTGCTGACATAAGAAAGTCAGTAATTAGAGGTAGATTCTGTTTCTGGATGAAGTTTGAGGGATATGTGGAGACAGGAAAAATGGCAAGTTTTAAATAAAAGAGATAAAGATAAAGGATGGAAGAGGGAGTGAGAAAGAGAAGACAGGAAATAAGAAGAGAGAGGGAGAGGGATGTCTTGACTATTGACAATAATTCTTCACATATTTTCTTATTGTTGGGGAAGCAAATTGCTCTGGTTTGTATAACCCCCTACCGGTCTGCTCAACCCACCAAAATTAGCCCACATGTCATCTGATACCAGACTAAGACTCATGGAAACACATTATTGCTCTATTAAAGCCATAACAAAATACCACTGAGCAGTGAGCATTAGGTGGGAGGGTGGCCCCGAGGTAATACAATCCGTGTTATAGAATTTCTAGCCCAAATTTTAAACATCTGGTTTTGATATGATAATAAATGTGATAATGTACATTAAATGCCGGTATTCAAGTAACATAATCCTTCCGTCTGACTAAAACAATGCATGCTTTTCAAATCACATAAGAGAGAGAGATTAGATGGATAGACATCTAATCTCTATTAGATTTGTGCATATACCGAAATGACCCTCCTGGGCACAAACATACATGTATACATACCCAGCAATAGCACAGAAACTATCAGTTGCCTTTCTAGAAATAAAGTATGTTTTCACTGAACTCCTCCTGTGCTCCCTTTTCAGGATGTCCTTTTGCACAATCGCACTACTTTGTAGGAGAACTGAGATTGAGGGAAATGGAAAGGGAATGTGAAAAATACTACTAGTAATTGGACCAGACAGAGATGTGAGCCCCTGACCTTTGCTTCATTAGTACCATCTCATGCTTTAATCTGATGAACTACCCTGCCACTGGCGACTGGAAAAATAAATGAAATTGGATTATCCCAATCCTGTTTTAAGTTAGAGTTTCTGTATTTCAAGTCCAAATATTACCATATTATTTGATGTCGAGTAATTCGGTGCTGTAAACAGTGCTAGGGTCCAGAAGTTAAGATCCCTTTAAGTTGGCAGCGTAGAATTAGACCAGTTGATAAAGAAAGAACTAACCCATGAGTGTTTGCTGACCTTTTATATTTACTTACAGGGAGGCTGACAGAGTGACCTGCAGGATGGAGGCGTGTGGATGCTGCTGAGACAAAAGTCATGCTGGGACTGCCAAATAGTTAATGACTATGGGGTTGAGAGCTAAGGATGAGGCTAATGGCGACTGAGCCTCATGTGTTTCAGAAAGGGAACTTTGTACAATGGTGTATTGTGCAAACCATTTCCACTTATCAAACATCTACTATGCCCCAGGTACTCTGCTAAGAACACAGTTTTGTATATTAAATGCAATAATATAAATACATACAAAATAGAAAGGCAGCGAAGATAAGGGAGTAGTTAATTATGTTTGGCAAGATTTAAGTTGACATCTAAGCTGAATTTGGGATAGAAATTGGAATTTTCCAAGCAGACAATTGGTGGTAGGATGTTCCAAGTAGGAGAATCAGCTTATGCAATAGTGAGATGAGTGAAATGGAAAAATTACTCTCAAAAACACAAATAGTATACAATATAGGATTTTAAAATTCTAGTGAAAATTTGGAAAGGGCAAGACAATCCCAGTCTAGGTTTGTCCAATTTACTCATCCATGTGAACCATGTAAAGGGAGACACTAAGTCTTATATACCTTAGGATCACCTATGTGTCTGGCACATAATGAATTGACTGATTAATAAATTGCTTTGTCACTCCACCCTCCAGGAAAAATTATATGAGTACATCTTGTTCCAATGGTAATCTGTATCCTGCTCTTTCTCCCAGCAAGAAGGAGTCTTGCCCAAAGTATCTTTGAACATCAGGAATATTGAAAATTTATTCACTCCCTCGTTTCCTGCTGATGTTCAAAGCTTCATGAGTCAGGTGAATGGTATTTGAAGGAGCTGGCACAAAATAAAAACCCCAAGTGCTCTTTCTTGAGTTGAGCCAAACCCAAACCTTTTGAAAGGCGTGAAAACATGCAGCCACATTCGTTTGGTTTTCCTTTCCTGGGTTGCTCTTCTTCCTGGTGCTGGCCAGCACCACACAGAAGTCTTGCGACATGAGCCATTTCCACGGAATTTTAAATTCTGCCAAAAACAAGAGGGATTGGAAATTTCGTGAGAATGGTTATTCTTAGGAGATTTCCATCCCAGATTCCTAACTTGTGTGGCTCATATAAGCATCTAAAATGCATTGCCAAACCTTCTGAGGTCCCCCAATACACTTATTTCCATTCACATTTCTGCATAGAGACCTCAAAGTAACAGTGAATGCAATGGTTTGTTGGGAAACAAGATCCCCCTACCTATGTGGAAATGGCTCTGGAATGCCATGATAAAACAAACATTGGGTTTCAATGTACCCAGAATATGTTCAGTTCTTAGATGAGACATGTTTACATTCTCCCAAATAAAAACAACCTACCCCAAAGCAACCCTTCAATTTTTATTCTTTTGCTTCTGAGCAACTTTAAAATATAATAAGAATATTGTCTTAGTATATTGTTAAGTGTGTAACAGCTCAAGCTCTTCCTTTAGGCTCATTTCTCCTATAGTCTTCCTATGAGAAAACTAGATCATAAACTCACCCCAAAATTCTCACTAATTTGGACACTATATCAGCAATCGCTATGTAACACACCTACTCCAAACTCAGTGGCTTAAAACAATAGGCATTTATTATTGGTGACTCTCTTATGGGTCAACATGACAATTCTGGTCTCCTCTGGGGCTCATTAATGCATCAGCTGCACGTTGGGTAGGTGACTGCTGCTCTTGGCTGGGCTCTTTGACATGTTTTGAGGTCAGCTCCCTGCACTCTGATATAGGATAGTCTACCTGAGATAACTGAGCTCTTCCCCTCGAGCCCTCACTTGCACATGTCTTTCATATCCCTCCAATGGACGAGCCCAAGTGTGGTCTTCAGCAACCTTGAGTACATTTGCAAGGCAATGAGAGGCAAGAGAGGAAGTGGAAATGTATGAGTGTATTTTAAAAGCTCTGTTTAGGTCAAATTGTTAAGGTCATTTGGGCCAAAGCAAAATACAAGGCAAGCCCAGAGTCTGTGTTAGGAAGGTATCTACTACCAAAAGATGTGAATTCAGAGAAGCATGGAAAATTGGGACCATTCATACACTCTCTCTACCACAGGTGCATAATTTTATATCTGAAGCCAAACAAGCAACACATCTGGAGTCCCTGGTCCCTCTCACCATTCCCAGGCTTCAGTTCCAGAAGCACACACTGCACATGGGGTAAGACCTGGCTTCCCCGAAGCTGTCAAGGGCACCAGATGATAGAACTTCTTAAGTGCGGGGGCAGCCAACTACCATGAGGCAAACTTTGACCAACGAACAGCAGAAAATGGGAGAACCGACAGATAAATGTCACCTCACTTCTTTCCTGAAATGCACTGTCCGGATGCAATGCTGGCTGTCCAGACAATGCTACACTCGGTGCACAGCTGATGGGGTGGCTGTGCCTCTTCTTGGCCCTTGGTGACCTGTGGTCAGCATGGTGGCGCATCATCCTGCATTTGCTTCCCGCTGCTCTCTGCCACACTTCCCTTCCCCCGCTCTAGTCACCCTGGAATTCTCTTCCCGATAAAGCATTAGCACTTAAGCCTGTGTCAGCTCAATTTTCAAGAAAAGCCAGGTGAGACATCTGTTTATGTATATGTGCTGTATAATTTGATTTATATATATGTAATGTATATATACATATGTGTACAGATATACACATATGTATATCGTATTGTTCTATATAGAGATAGTTATATAATTATATATAGATGTATATGGCATATATATGCAGATATAAATAACCATTTAGTTCCCATTACTCCTCCATACAAAAGTCCATACCACTTAAAATCCTGAAGCCTTAAGCACAGCATGGTGACATTATGGAATAAAATATCAATATAAAGAATTTATAAACCCCAGAGGTTTTGTTTTCTTTTTGGGTTTTTTTGTTGTTGTTGTTCTTTGCTGAAAAAACAAAACAAAAAAACTTTACAGGAATTAATAAATATGAACTTTGTAAAATAGCCATAAACTTCAAAAAATGATCAATAAGAACACTGATCCCTTAGGAAAGTAGGGTTTCAGACTCTAAAAATTAGATATAAATGAGATGAGTACCTTTGAAGATTTTTATCTTATTTTTTAGCTTAACATATTTTTTCTATTACATTTTGTGGGGCCTAAAACCAAAGCTCTGCTTTAGTGCCTATGCTCATAACAGAGGCTAAAATAAAATGTCCACTCAATGGTTCTTTATATGTGTGCTATTTTATGTC